AAAAAAAAAAAGGAAAGTTACAAGTACTTTGGAGTGAAAAAGAATCCCTAACTAACTAAAGCTGTTAACTGGAACTACCTTGAGTGATGGTGGCTACAGATGGCAGGTGTGCAATACCATAAGGTGCCCACTTTATTTAGTGAGAGATTCCCCCAGTGAACTACACAGAACTGCCCTTTCCTGCCATGACTTGTGTGCTCCAGTGCTGACCACTTCCAGCTGCTCCTCTCACCATGTTAATTTTCCCTTTTCCCCCCAAAGGCTACGGGCTGCCCGTGGTGTGCACGGAGTGCAGCGGCAGCACGGACAGCGTGAACGTCCACATCTACCCCAAGGACTCGGAGAGCCTGAGGACTGTGGAGAACACCCAAAACACCCACCCCAACGCACTGAGCAGCAGGGAGCACCACAGGAAGAGGGGTGCAGGCACCAGCCTTCTTCATGCTCAGCCCTGCAACGGGACCCTGTACCCCAGCAACCACGACAGGATAAGGGCGGAGGGCACGGCCGGCGCGCTGCTCGCGGACACGCACGGTACGTCCTTCCTCGGGGTCACCTCTGGCCCTGGGGCCACCAGCCCCGTGATGGTTTGAGCATAGAATAGATTTTTTAGGGTTGGGAAATACCTCTAGGGAGCATCACCTAACCATGCTGCTCCTTTGGGGTTTTGCAGGCTCTTCACAAGCAGCAGCAAAGCCTTCAGAGCTTAACAACCTGAATCTGGTGAGAGCTTCACCTGCAGGAGGGTCATTAAAGCAGCTGAACGTGCTTCCTGAAATATCCCCAGCACTACTGGATCTGCAGAGGGAAGCAGAGGTGGAGCAGGCTCTCCTGCACAACAGCACCACAGCCCAGCCCCGTGACTCCACTCAAGAGCCCAAGCTGCCCAACAGGGCTCTGGACTGAGAGCACAGACTGACTGCCACGTGCAAATCAACAAACACACTATTACTTTTTTAATTTTTTTTTTTTTTTTTTTTTTTTTTGCACAGAGTATATAGGCTACTTACTTCTACCTCGAATCTTGAACTGATGGCCTGGCAAAGGCAACCAACTGAGGTATGAGAAACAAGCTTGTATGGGGAACAAACTCCTGTTCGAGCGTCATCTGATTGTACATAGTTTAAAACTTCCCTGAGAAGTATGAAGTGTTCAAAAGTCAACTTGCATATGAAGCACATAAATGCAAGGGATTATTGTGTAAAGAGAAAAGTATTTGATACAACTGTACATAAGAGTTTTCATATATAAATATATATATAAAAAATATATATATCTTTTACAGAGGCTATTTTAATCTTTAGTGCATGGAAAACTGAGTGAAATTTTACAATTTTGGCAATATTGTTTTCAGTATCAGGTTGCTGTTAAACTTTGTGAGAGAAATAATTCTGGTGCCTTAAATGCATAAACAAAACTTGTAAAAGCCAGACTGTTCCAAAGGGATTGTCCTCTTTTCAGTGGAAGTTCCTTTACACCATGTACATCAGGGTTGGGGAAATCCCAGGTACTGGTTGGGTGGAAAAGTGACCAGGAACAGCCCTGTGGAGAGGGACTTGGGAGTGTTGGTGGGTCAGAGGCTGGACGTGCCCTGCCCATGTGTGCTCACAGCCCAGAAATCCAACCATGTCCTGGCCTGCATCCAGAGCGTGGTGGGCAGCAGATTCTTCTCCTCTGCTCCACTCAGGTGAGGCCCCACCTGGGGTTCTGCACACAGTTCTGGTGCCCTCAGTGTAAGAAGTAATGAGTTCAAAGTGAAAAAGGGGAAATTTAGGTTAGATACAGAAGAAATTGAAATTCTTTGCTGTGAGGGTGGTGAGGCACTGGTATAGGTTGCCAGAGAAGCTGCAGATGTCCCATCCCTGTAGGTGTCCAGACTGGATGGACCTCTGAGCAACCTGGACTAATGAAAGATCTCCCTGCCCATGGCAGGGGGCTGGAACAAGATCATCTTTAAGGTCAGGACAGGCTGGATAGATGGGCTAAATCCAACAACATGAAGTTCAACAAATCCAAGTGCCGGGTTCTGCTCTTTGGCCACAACAACCCCTGTGGTACAGGCTGGGGACAGTGGCTGGACAGTGGCCAGGCAGAAAGGGACCTGGGGGCACTGACTGAACATGAGCCCTGGTGGCCAAAAGGCCAGTGACATCCTGGCCTGGATCAGGAACAGGGTGGCCAGCAGGAACAGGGAGCTCATTCTGCCCCTCTGCTCAGCACTGGTGAGGTCCCACCTCGAGTGCTGTGTCCAGTTCTGGCCCCTCAGTTTGGGAACATTGAGATGCTGGAATGTGTCCAGAGGAGCCAACGAGGCTGGAGAGGAGCTGGGAACACAAACTCTGTGAGGAATGGCTGAGGGAGCTGGGGGTGCTCAGCCTGGAGAAAAGGAGACTCAGGGGTGACCTTGTCACTCTCTACAACTCCTGAAATGTGGCTGTGGCCAGGTGGGGTTGGGCTCTTCTCCCAGGCAGCCAGTGACAGGACAAGAGGACACAGCCTTAAGCTGTGCCAGGGGAAGTTTAGGCTGGACATTAGGAAAAAATTGCCTCACAGAAAGTGATTGGACATTGGAATAGGCTGCCCAGGGAGACAGTGGAGTCACCGTGCCTGGACATGTTCAGAAAAAGATTGGATCTGGCACTTAGCCATGGTTTAGATGATTAGGTGGTGTTAGGCCATAGGTTGGACTTGATCATCTCAAAGGTCTCTTCCAACCTAGTTAATCCTGTGATTCTACCCCTTCCAACCAAAGATTTTCTGTAATTCAATTGGATTACCTAGCACGAATTTCCTTTCCCGTAGAAATTTATTGTACTTAACACATTTAATAACAGAGATCTTTAACTGTGTCAAATGAAATTTATAAAGAAAAAAAGCAATGAGCAATTACATAGCAACCTGATATTTTCCTGTTGGTGGAAGAACTTAAAATTCCATTATTTTTTCAAAACTTTATAAAAATTAGTATTTGAACTGTGACTGTGTGAGACTTTAGAGTGGACCACACAGGAGGCACTAAATAACTCTTCAACAGTGCAGAGCCCCAAAACAACCAGAGGAAAAGGCTGTTTTGACTGGGAAGAAGTTGTTACCAAAATAAATAACTTGTGCAGTAAACCAGGGGTGGTCTCATAACAGTGCACCTCTCAAACACATCATCACAGAGGTTTTACCTGCCATGTGTGCACAGCACTGAGAACCACAGCCCTCACCACAGGCCCTTCCCCTCCCAAAGGGACCCAGCTCTACCTGTCTGAGGTGTGTGCAGCAATCCAGCCTTGCCCTGCTTAGAATAAATAACCTGTGCCAGTATAATGTATTTTCACACCCAAAAACCACATCTGTTCCGGGGGGGTTTGAAACCATAGAGCTGTTTTGACAACAAAACTAAACTATACTCCTAAGGGGACAGCTGTATCACTAATTCATCCAATACTTTTTTTTTTTTTTTTCCTGCAACACAATATTACACTTTGTAGTTGAACAGCCAGACTCTCTAGATGAGAATATCACCTTCAAGTGAGTTATGGTGCCTTGTGTAGGAGTTCTGGGCTAGTTGGAAATACACTTGTTTTATAAGGAAAACTGTGGATTCATGGTTGAATAGACATTTAAGTGGAAATGTCCCAGATGTTTTTATGTGGTCTTTTAAGTCCATCCATTAATGGGGGTGAGTATAAAGAAATGCCCACCTCAGTCAAAGAGATCTTTGTCACTTCTGACTTCACAATGATGCTGTTTATTTATAGACAGGTTGCTTTCTGTTGGTGTTTGTTGGTACCTGTGGATGGAGGACTCCCAGTTCTTTGTGATTTGAGTTCTGCTAACATGAGGTTGCTAACTCTGGTGATGACTACTTTGGGGCAGGTTTATCATGGGTGGGAGGGGGCGTTGTTACTTTTTTCCTTAGGAGCAACTCAAATACCAGTTCCACTGGGGCCAAGTCTGGGAATCCACCTTTGCCAGGACTGGTTCAGAACAAGCAGCAGAGACAAGGGCAGAAACACCTCAATGTTCACTTTAGATCCATCACTGAGGGATCTGCCCCGGTGCTGCTGCACCTGTGGGGTTTCAGGGAGTGGCTCCAAGCTGCCCCTTGGTTTTATTACAAGCTGGTCCTACCCAGCCTTAGCTTGAGGAGCCACCAGCTCCTGTAAGGGAAGGACCTGAGGGTCAGGGAGAGCAGCAGCTGCCCCTGGATGAAGCCAGGCATAATTCAGCCAGTACCTGTCTGTCCCAGTCCCTGACTATTGACACGTTTGCACTTTGAGACAGGTGGCGAATTATGTTGAGTGCCAAGTTTATTCAGAGCAGAGGAAATGGATGTCAGAAAATTACAAACCGAGCACAGTTTTCCCTTTGCTGAAGGGAAAAGTGCTCCAGAACTAACTCATGGAACCAGGGACATGGGGAAGATAGGAATGATTCGATGGGCTCGTTTTGCTGGCAGAAATGTCATCACCAGTGCACATACAAATGCATATTTACCATGTTAACATTGAAAATAATGTTTCTGAATAAAGTTAACTGCCTAATGTTATGACTTCCACTAAATATGTGAATTTGCTGCTTCTAAGAGGCAATGTGAAAGAGGAAGTATTACTTTTGTGTACAAATTTATTTATTTATTAGAGAATTTGGTACAATGTTGTACATTGAAAAACATGTAAGATATTGAAGTGTCTAACAAACGGCATTGAAATGTCTTTAATAAAGGTTCATTTATAATATTGCGGCTGATCTGTTGAGAGTGAACTTTTGGGAGTTTCAGTTGAAAATTAAATAAAATTCTAATCCATTGCTATATCTCTTTTCTGTCTTTCTCTTATGAAAATGGAGATAAACTGCCAAAGTACCTGCTCTTGAAATTGGGCCATGAGATCCTGGGGAACAGCGTGAGGCTCTGACAGCCTGGCATGTGGATGGGGTGGAATTTGGGGCTGGATTGAAAAATACAATACAGAACTTGTAAGAAATACATTTCCAGTACATCAGCTTGCTTTAGTATCTGGCAAGTCCCCCTATCTTGGCAGAGAACAGAACAGATGAGGGGTGTGTGTGTGTGTGTGTGTGTGTGTGTGCAAGTAAAAACAGGGCCAGGACAGCACCAGACCCAGCTGCAGTTGTGAACACCTCTGGTATTCCCAAACCCCAACCCCACCCTGGGTGGAAATTCCAGAGGTAGCTTTGGACATAAGCCTGAATTCCTGCTTTAACTAAAAATCTCAATTCAGCTTCTGTTGATTTTTTAAAAATTGAAACTAATTCACCCTTGAAATTATCGCTTTGGGTATAAAGCAGGTTGTCTGAGAATACTCAAAGCTCCTTAACACATCTAGGAGTTAAAACTTTTTTTAAATTGAGAGAGGTTTTAAGAGGCTGGTGCCTGGTATAAAATTTGTTATCCCACTTTATCCTAGTAATGGGCTACATTGAATTTTGGTAAACTTGAAAGAAAACATTGCCAAAACTTAAGGCAAACATTCATAGGGGAATCCATGCATTTTTTGGTCTATTTTTTCTCCCCACATTCCCAAAACTAAAAATGTCCTTTTCATCCATATGAGGCAAACTGGTGCATGCAGAGCAGTCCTGGCCACCTGCTGTCACTTACCTGATCCCCAGGTACCTTTGGCCTTCTTGTGGTGCAGAGCTGTGCCACTGGCACAGAGGAAGGACAATCACTTGAGGTCTGTCCCCTCCCACATTAGCTTGGCTAAAACAATTTAGCTGCTTGGCTGGGTTTTGGTTGGGTTTTTTTATTTTAATTAAAAAAAAAAAAGGTGATGACAAAAACTGATTCTGCAATATTAAATAAAAACAACAAAAAATTGCACCATTTGGACCCAATGACATAAAGATGATTATTTACAGCTCAAATAATTAAAAGCATCAACTGCAGTGCTAACCCCCTCACCATGTTTAAAGAGCTTCAATAGAAAATTCGATAGGTTTTTGAGACAGAGTAATAAATCTTCCTCCCTTCCCAGCCCCTAAAATTGAATGTGATATATGTATATATAGAATGTCAAAAGAGACAGCCTCAAAGTGGCAGGAAGCACAGCTTCACCAAGCCATGGTAATGAGTAGTGTTACCAACCAGCCAACACGGGACTTGGCTGAATTCCCCATTTTAATTGAAGATTATTTTTAAGAATGATGTCCTTTCTTCTGTATGTTTTACTTGTCTGCCAATTATTTTCTAAGTTTTGGCCTCTAAAAAGTTTTACTACTCTGTCATGGATAGCAGTGTGGCAAACACATTTCTCTCAGGATTTTTCATAGAGATGCACAGAGGAAAGAAAGAGAAAACAATTTCTATTTCTGCTCCTTGTTTTCCCACGTGTAATGTGTTTGGAGAATTGTTTACCTGGAGTGAGTGCTTGGTTGGATTCAGGTGAGGATTGTTTGAGCTGATGGCCAATCCAACCCACCTGTGGTTGGACTCTTAAAAGGGTCAGGAGTTGTGAGTTAGTCAGCTATAGTAGTTAGAACAAGTAGGTATGCAGTTTTAGTATCTTCCTTTATATAGTATATTAATGTATTTTAGCATAGTTATAATAAAGAAATCATTCAGCCTTCTGAACTGAGTCAGACATTCCCACTGGGTTTGCCTGCATTTACAATATAGCATTGTAATAAAACATCCAGCCTGTGCTGTAGGCACTCTGGGCAGGGGCTCTGGTGTCACTGTGTCCCACTGACCTGGTCTGGCATTTGTTCTCCCTCTCCCTGGACTCCAAACACCTGTACATTGTCCTCAGGATGGGAACAGCCTCACAGGTAAACTACAGCACCCTGGGGCAGCACATCAGTGTTGGGATGACAGGGAGGATGCCAGCAGGACGAGTGACCTGGCACAGCTCATCCCAGGGCCCTGTGGCACCATTCCCACACAGGAAACAACCACCCAGCACAGCCCCTTGGCTTTGCCTGCCCCAAAAACACCCTCCACAGCTAAACCTCCCCAGCCACCCCTCAGCATCAGCCAAGCTGGTGCTGTAAACCCCCAGCACCGAGCCTGGTGATAACATTGAGTAATTCCAATGAGGTCGTTCCATCACACTCATCCTCACACCATTCTGGCTGCTGCAGCTTCTGTTTCCTACATGAGAACAGCAGCAGAGTTTTGCCTGCCAGCAGACCCCCGAGAGCCCTCAGGATCCTCCCCTGCAGCAGCAGAACTCTGACGTTCTCCCTGCCTTGCCCTCCCAGCTTCTCCCCCACAGGCTTCAGCACTTCCATCCTTCAGCTGCTGAGGGATGAAGACCAGAAGAAGGCAGAGCTCCGTGTCTTTGCACACGCACAGCTGTAAAATAATACAAGCCTGTGCTTTTACTGGAGAAATATGAGTGTGATTAATAAAGCTGCACTGGCTCCCACACAGGAATGCTTGCTGAGCACCTGTAGGTATAAACAGGAATATAAACTTCCACAAACACAGCTCGAATCAGAAACAAATGGATGATTGTCTTTTACAAAGAGTTCTCCCAAGCCAGGATCCTTTCGGTGCTGTTGGAGGGCAGCAGGCTGTAACTCTATCAGCCCCTTCCCCTCCCCTGTTATGAGGCAGGTGCCACTGAATGATGAAAACTTGCTTTATTTCAGCATCCCCACTCAGCCCCCAAGCCAGAGCTTTCCAAAACACTTTCCCTGCAGGAGTTCTAATAATGCCTTTTGCAGCCACCGTAATTAGCTGTTTACCCCCCAAACATTACTTTTTTGGCACGACTCTTCCAAAATTACCTCACCCATTTCCCATGCAGGAAAATTTCATGTTTGGGAAACTGGATTATTGGGGGATTTGCTTTTTTCTAGCAGGGAGAGTGGCTCTCAGCCTGCAGGACAGCTGCTGTGAGGGGTGCGGGAGGAAGGCTCTGCTCCCATCCCAGCTCCTCCTCCTCCTCCTCCTCCTCCTCCTCGGTGGCTTCTCCCCCGGCAGGATGGGCCGGGCTGGCTCAGAGCAGCAGCTGCCGAGTCTTCTCGTATGTGCCCAGGAAGATGAAGCCTCCCAGGCTGATGGCTGCCATCCGTGGGACGACACCTGCGAACAAGCTGAGGGCAGGGGAAAGGCGCTTTGAGCGGGGAGCGGATGCAGGGGCTTCGCACAGCACAGCCAAGAAAAACCCTCTCCTGCTGCCTTCTTAAATCCCACCCTGCTACTCACTGCAGGAATCTGTCTGGGCTTCCCTAACACAGCACTCCCAAGGCTTGTGGTTTTTAACCCTTCTCCACTCTCGGGTGCAGAAGGAAAAGGCAGAGGCCACTGTAGACCACTGGAATGGGGAGCTCAGGCACGTGGAACGTGGGCACATGGCCACAAAGAGCTGCAGAGAGGTGGGAACACCCTGTCCCCCCGTCCTCCACTGCTCCCCACAGCCTCTCGGGCCAGGGGCTGCCCCTTGCAGAGCCAGCCCTGCTCACTGCAGTGGCTCATTCCCAGGAACACACAACAGCCCTGAGGGAGCAGAAATGCTCCATTTGTGGCACCTTCAGCTGCCACCCTTTTTAGGTGCCTGATCTTCATCTCGTGCAAAGCCAATTCCTTGATACATCTAAACTCACAGCTGGTTTAACAACCTCAGGACAGGCCAGTGTACCCTCCCAGAGGATTACAGGCTTCCTTTGTGGCAAGCAAGGAGTAACCTCGAATCTGTTTGGCATCCCACCCCCCTTCCAGATCTGTGGCACGCAGCCTGGCTGAGCTCCACAGGGATGCTGTCCCTGGCCTTCCCAAGCACTGCAGGGTCCCTGCTGAGAGGGTGGGACACGCTGTGATTCCTGGTGAGACCTGGCTGCTCAGGAGCTGGCTGCACAGGGAAACCTCTGGCAGTAATGAGCTCTGCTAAGCAGCCTGGAGCACACACGGGCAGATGGAAACATTTTATGGCTTTACTAGACAGCAATTGGGCCTATTACCATAATGACAGCTTTAAAACAGAGTAATTTGTACAAGGCATGTATGGACAGAGCACTGATAGGGCAAATCCTAGGGAGCAGCACACAGCATCCCTCTCCTGCTGGATTAGGGAGCCTCATTACGGGAGCAGGGGCAGACATTCGTTTCCAGAACAGCCCACTCGAGACACAGCTATTACACCAACAGGGGCCCATAACTGAGTTACCCAGAGGCTGCATCCCTGGCAACCCCTATTACTGACCAGCACTTCCAAGAATCCTGGCCCTGCTTCTCCTGGTTTCCTGTTCCCACCTGCCACCCGTGGCCTCTCCAATCCAGGCTTCCCCCATGGGCTCCCTTTCAGCGTGAGGGCAGAGCTCAGCAGCTGCAGGGAGGTCCCAGACCCAAAGAGCAGAGCTCTGTGGCAGGTCTGACCAAACTGGTCTCTGCTGGGCTATGCCTGCCTCCAGCAGCAGATGAGGTAAATTTGGTTTATTTCTGAAACCACTCTGGTGGGCAGAGGTCTGCTGTCTAGCTGGATTTGATCGCTGTCTGCAGACTTCACCTGGCACTCTGCCACTCCTCAATTCCTAACAGGACTCAGCAGTTACCCTTTGGATCACTGAATCATTTAGGTTGAAAAAGGACAAGCCCAAAATGACCAAGCCCACCACTAACCCATGTCCCCAAGCACCACAGTTACATGCTTTGAACACTTCCAGGGATGCTGATTCTACCACTTCCCTGGAAAACAGGGCAAGGCAATGCAGAGCTTGGGCACAGCACAGAGGGGCCAGTGCTGAAAAAAGCACTGGGTGTATCTTGCAGCCCAGTGCTGGAGGCTTTCTCTGCTCTGCTGGGCTGCCAGGCAAAATTCCCCCAGAGATGGGACCCTTCTCTACTCCCCAAAGAGAATTCTCTCTGCTCTCCTCTCCTCGAGGGCTGCCCAGCAACAGAGGCTTTCTCTGTGCATGTGCTGTTACTGCTGAGGCATGTGCCCTTCTGGTATTTTTCCACTGAAATCAAGATTCATAACCCACACTTCAACAAATAAAACTAAACTATGTCGAGGGATTGTTATTTCAAAATTAAATCAGTACCTCACATGTGCCAATTCTACTCAGGCTAGGAAGCTCATGGGAGGACACCTGGTGTAACACCACCAGCTCCATCCCCAGCTCTACACAGGGCACCTCACCAGCATCAGCACTCCAAAAACCCTCATGTTTCTCACCAATAAATTGTGAAGCTTCATCCATGGCTTTCAAACACCACTATATCCTTGTGTGAAAAGCCATCAGACAAGATGCAAACTCCCTTTCCCATGAATGATTCCTCTACTCCTCTGACAAGAGCAAAGAGGTTCACAGATCCACTCACCCCATCCCTATCCCAACCCCTGCCAGTCCTGGCTCTCCCTTGACAGAAAGAGATGTGGAATTTCTTGGCATGAAGCAGAGGGATTTACTAGGTGCAGACCAGGAAGCTGAGCCCTGTGCTCTGGATTTAATAAGGTGGCAATAAGCAATGCGTCTTTCTGCCCTCAAAATTCCTCCTCTTCAAGTACGAGATTTATTAGAGGAGCCATTAATCATGTCATGTTGTAACTGGCCAAAAAAGCCCGACACTTTTATTGGTTTTGATTAATAGATTTATAATTGGCAGCAGGCATGGCAGCCTCTGCGTTTATTTTTCCCAAGACTTTCTTCCTTTTCCTCGCAGCTGACGCAGCTTGGCCTCCTTTACACGTTACTTTTTCTCCAGATCTCTTATTGTTTTGATTTCAGCTGAATTGTGTTCTCTTTGGTCCTAGTCCACTGGTGCTATCTTTGAGCAGAGTTTAATTCTGGGCTGTTTAGAAAAGGGCACTGCTGAAACACCCTGAAAAGAGCACAAACATACATTTTTACTTTCTGCTCTTGGCTGGGGGGAGTTTCCTCAGTCAAATCCATGCCTCTTCACACCCTTCAGAGCTCAGCTTCCACCAGCAGCAGACATGGCCTCACTTCTCCCAGTCCCTTTCAAAACATGGCTACAGAGTCCACCAAGCCATGCAGGGCCCAAAGTCACCCCCTGCCACATCACTTGTCCCCTCCAAGGGGCAAACCTGAGACAGCCCATCCCCGAGAGCTGCCAGGGGGCACAGCTGGATGCCTTCCTGGAATCAGTGTTCAGGAACTTCCTGCAATTTGTTTTGAATTATTTCCCACATGTGTAGAAAGAAGGTTGAACTTTTATTAACTGGGCAAGCAGAGATCAGATGTTCAGAGAAAGCTGTCCCCTGCAAAGCTGTGTTCTGCACAGTGCTTTGGGCAACAAAGGTTAGAACAGTGCCCTGAAAGAGTGGGAGGGTTAAAAATCTAGGGAAAACTACAGGGAAAAGTCCCAACCTTCCAAAAATCCCTCTGTTTCTCTTCCAGCCCAAAAACAGGTGAGACATGAGCCCTGCTGAAGGAAGCACAGGCTGAACTTCATGGACTGAAGAAGTTAAAACATATATTTACTTTCAGAGGCCAACTACTGGTGTAAGACACACACTCAAAGAGGATAGGGTGGTGTCAGTAAAAATCAATAATAATTTTGACACATTCAAAATGTTCTAGAAACACCAGCAGAAGACTCTGTTCCACACTGCTCCAAGGTCAGGAGAGCAATCCTCTGTCTCAGGACTGGACAAAGGGAGGCACTTAAGAGACTGGATGGACATCACCAAAGACTTCCTCAGCTGGTCAGAGGAAAGCCCAGAACATTTCTCCACTCTGGCTACAGCAGAAAGCCCTGGAGAGCTGCTCTGTGGCTGCTCAGACCTACTCTTTGTACTCAAACCTGGCTCAAACTTGCACTTTTGCACACTGCAAAAATCTGGGGGCACGTGCTCAAGGCCAGACCTAAGAGGAGATTCAAAGCTTGCAGCTCCTCCCTCTGCTTCAGCTTGTCCCCACTGCTGGCACCACACTGGCACTGCCTGCTCACACTGAGCTTCACAACAAGAATGGGGAATTGAAAGGAACAGAGGAGACCTTGCTGGTGCTTTCACATCTGCAAGAAATAGCCAGGAGGAGGAAAAACTGTCCATAAGGGGCTTGTGGGGCCTATGCTGACCTTCCCTGGCACCTCAAATGACACTGCTGAAACTGCCACGAGATGTGCCTGAATTTAAAGGGATACAAATCACAAACATCTACAGGGAAAAGTCCATCATACGTTATTAACACAAATATATATATATTATAACACAAATATATATTAAAAAAAAATCACCCTTGCCTCTGACACCTGGAGCTGGGCTTGGAGGTTGGGCATACACCCAACAATGCCCTCTTTTCTGTACTCTTCCCTGGACACTGCCCCCAGCCAGGGCTAAGGTGAGGACACTCAACCTCCCTGAGGGATTTGTTCTTGGCTACCCGACTGTTGCTCCCTGCCCAGGTGTGCAGCAATCAAAAGGCTTTTCTGTATGCCAGTATTTAAACAGAAACAGATCCCACCCCATCCTCTCACACCCCCTAAAACACACAGCACAACCCCTGAGGTGCAGCACGTCCTTACCCTGACAGGCCTTGTGTCCTCCAGATGCCACCAAGGGCAGCCAGAACATTCCCACTGGCATTGCTGGAACCAGCCTGCACCACAGAGAGAGAGATTGAAAATGTTGGCAGAGGTTTAGTTATTCACTGAGCTCCTGTGCCTGGTTAGTGCTACATGACAGGAATTACAGACATCTGAATAACCTCCTTACCCCAGGCACAGGCACAAGCTCCTCATCTCCAGGAATGACAAAAAGGGCAGACAGTGAAGCAGAGGCACAGAAGAACAAAACAATCAAGGTCCCAGAGCTGGTCAGTTCAGAACTGGGCAGCCAGTCCCTTCTGCACAACACTCAGCTCTATATCCAGCAGCTGGCACTGCAGTTAGACCTTAATAAAAACACACTCTCAAAGCACCAAGTGACTTTGCAGCTCCTTTAGATTTAAAAGACAAACAAACAAACAAACAAACAAAAAACAACACAAAAAAACCACCCTGAATAGTATATTGCATGTGAAAATTGTCTTGAGTGCAAAACAGAGGACAAACTGAAGGACTAGAGACACTTAAATTCCATGTGTGAATTCTTAATGTGAAAGGACTGATAGAAACTGAGTGGTCTCAAAGCACCCTCATTTCTTCACCTGGTTGCTCAGGAGAGAGGCAGAGATAAAGGAAACCCAGTTTTTACAGGTTTATCACCAACACTACCCAAAGACAAAGAAGCTGCAGCAGACACAACCCAGCAATGACAGATAACACAGCACATGTGACTCAGCTGTTAGCAACAAGCAACACCCCAAACTGAGAGAAGTGAGGGTAAAAACACCCACAGAAACTCCAGAATGCCCATCCTTCACCGACACAACAGCTCTTTTCAGAGCTGGGAAAGGCTTTAGGAACATCCACCTGCTGAGGGCTCTTAGCTTGGTGGCTGTCAGCTCTGCCCTGGGTCAGTGAGATGATGATGGGAACACCAGACTCACTAGCAATTTCTAAACTTTAATTAAACTTGCTGATCTTACAAGCAGTCTTCCTTCTGCCTGGTTGGCAGATGTTGGCCATCACAATCTCTATAGTTTAACATCTTACAACAGAAAATCCAGTACCAAGCCCTCCTCAGAAAAGACATACACACGTTCTGAATTATCAGAACGGTGGAATAAATCCCTGATGGGCAGTTTAACTTTGGGTTAACTCTCACTCTGCAAGGCTTTTCTCCTAAAGACACTGCATGAGACTCTGGAAGCTGAGCACAAGCCCAGGTTTGTTTCAGACATCTCCTTTGGGAAAGGACCAGAGAAGCATTCAAGAAAAGGAACACAACAATTTCATTAATTCTGCATGCGATGCCTGTTCACATCTACTCCTGCCTCCTAGACAGGAGCAGAAATGATTATTAATAGGTGCTAGATTTCATTCTGTAATGACCCTACAGAAACCCTGGAATGCCCAGGCCATTCCCTGGCCTGTCTGCTGGCCTGCCTCCCTCCCTCTTACCTTTGCCAACATAATTCTTGTCTTTGCTACGTCGAGCGGTGTGGTGACTGCAGCTGCAAATCCACCTGAGAAAATTAAAATACCAAGCACAAGTGAGACATTGTTGTGTGAATATGAATGCCACACTGCCTATAATTCCCAGGGTTGTGGTCAACACTGCTCTGTTATTAATGCCTACAGCACATTCCCTCACGACAGAGCCCAGGTACAAGGTCTGTACACAGACATTTTGTTTCTGTGTATTGACTTTAGAAACAGCTCTCTGCTGCTTAACTGTAAATCCAAACACCCCCAGGGACATTACTGTCTTCTTGTTCTGGACTCTGTACATATATGAACATAGGAAGGTTGTAAGGATAACAGATTCCACTTCCAACATCTACAGCAAGTTTGGAAAGAAAAAAACCTGCTTACTCATTTGCAGAGATGGGAAAATAAAGCAATCACGCTGTGTTCTGCACAGAGAATTAAAGTCTGACCATTTAAATGCTGGAAGGACAGAATCATGCTCTGCATCTGAAACACATATGCTTGGGCTACACACTAGACACACACAGACTGGATCTGGGACTGTTCCAAGGAAAAAAAGACAAGTCAGTGTTTGGGATGGAGCTCATCTCCAACAGTTTAAATCAGCTCCACTTTGGATAACAACAATGTGAAGCTACCCAAGGGTCTTAGGACATTGTCAGAAGTCTGCTGTCACAAGTGCCATCTTACCCTCAGAGGCATTTTTATTCTCTACTCACTCCCTAACTTCACCCTTGGAGCTCATTACTGTCACTTGCCACAGCCAGCTCAGCTGTGGATTTCCTCCTGAAAGCCAGAAATCTTCAGCTTATCCATCTGCATGTCTCACCCCGAAATCTGTGAGTCTGGCTCTGTATTTTAACCCTGTGACTACAGCCTGGCCTCTTTTGCTATCTAGGGACCAGCTCTGCTGCTTTTCCTCCCAGGATTTCCACATCCTAAAATCAATTCTAATCTTTCCTTCATCTGTTCAAAATATTTCAAGAGAGCAATTCATACTGAGGAAGAGCCAAAGTGAAGGAAACTTCTAAAATGCAGGAGCAGCAGTAAGTGAAGAATGAAAGGGGAAGAAAGGGGGGAGAAAAGAGAGCAAGAGGCTTGTTCTGAAATCTTTCTTCTTCCTCCTAATTTTTTTCTTTTCTCTGGAGCTTGTATAAATCCTGTATCTGCTACAGCTGGGAACAAAGTGACTCCAAAGACTGAAGCCTACACAGCACCCAGGGAATAAGCTAAAAATAATCTATTTCTGTTCCAAGTTTTATGGAATGTAGAAAAATTGATCTCTCTTTTCTTGGGATGGGAGAAGGGAAAGAGCATTTCTTCTAAAATCTGTAAAGTAATGGAAAAAAAAAAAAAAACAACCCTGTTGGCTTTACCTGTATCTCTCTTTCTCAACCACCTTAACTTGAACATATTCAACCCCTGTTTTATGACAGAGGAGGCTGGGCCAGCTGGCACCCTACTTGACTTCTTACAGTTAATTAAGGAATGTCCCATGAGAGTTCAGGAGATGCAGTAAGGCACATGTGCAGTCCCCTGGATCTCACACAAGAATAGCAGGAAAGTTGAGTTAGTGAGCAGCCCAAAATGCCTGGTTTTAGGAGCAGCTTGCACTCCCATAAGGTTGGCCCACGTGGTTCACTCTGCCGGAAGCTTTCTAGCAGTGATACCTCACTAAAAAGCAGAAAAATGGGCTGTATTCAAGGAGTCAAGGCAGAAACTATGAGCAAGTTAAAATAAATTCCAGTCCATTCTTGGCCCTTCTTTAAGGTCAGAAAATCTTTTTATTGTGAGCCAGTTTTTGCGTAAGTGACCAAAAGGCTTTGAGAATGGTCCGGGTAGAAACTTCGGCACTCATGTCAGCAATGTATTTTTAGAATGGTAAAAATAATCTCCATGGAAAATAGTGGCTTTACAAGTCTGGATGTAGAAGCCCTTCCTTTGCCCACAGACCAAGCTAAAATTAAACAGTGAACCATGTGGTTGTCAGGCCTGTATCAAGCAAAAAAATCTTAAAGCATCACCCAGCTCTGATGGCAACACTTTAATCAGACTAACTTACGTCCCTTATCAGATCCCTGTAACTTTTTTTATGCATTTATTCCTGAGAGTTTCTTATTGGCAGCAGCTTCAGTCTTGGCTGATAGAGTGGTTAGAACAAACACAATTTATCCTGGCATGATGTTCCCAAATTCTTATCTGAAAAGTTTAATCAAGGCTGATTGGTTTTCATTCTTTCCCCAACTGACATCTGGATCTTCCCTACTCTTTCGTTATTAACATTTCAATGTTTCTTTTTCCATCACTGGGAAGTATTTGGTACAGATTTACCAATCAGTTCTGAATGGCAACAGCAACAATAAAATGCTTCATAAGCACAACAAGCAGCAGGATAGCGGCTAAATTAAAAGCAAGTTTGTATATGCTTGACAAAAACATGAGATTAAAGCTAGCATTTGTTGGGGACTGCTTTTTATTGAAGGCAGAGATTCTGACAAAATGAATGTTCTCCAGCCTTAACTCTAAGTGTCCAAGATAATTTTAGAGTGACCTCTTAAACTTAGTACACAGGTATATAGGAAGAGAATAAAGGAACTTAAAATTTGACTGCTTCCAATCACCAGATTGATACAACAGACACAAACTGTTAAAGCCAGTCTATTAATTGAAAATAGGAGGGCTGTGCACTGCACTAATATCCACAATAGGGCCCAACAGATCTTTAAATCACTTAATTATTTAATAATCATTCAGTTCCAGCTGTCACTGAACTCACCAAGAGCTGCCACATGAGGCTGGAGTCTGCTCCACTAATCATCAGCCAGGAAAAGCATCAGAGTATCATGTGGACAAGAAAGGCCCAAACACATGGAGCCTCCCACTCCTACATCATGCTGATTTCTCTGCAGAGCTGATGGAGGAAACGGCACCTTTGCAGTCAGTCTGTGTCCAGGCTCACTCACCAACTCGCTCTTGGAGAAGGCTCCTTCCTCCCTTGCCCTAGACAGAGCTGGGGATGACTTGGGCTCAGCAAGTAGGCTAAAGATGGATTTTCACATGAGAGAAGGCTCTTGGCTCATTAATACTTCTAGCAGAGTGACAAATTCCTCTGTTGGGAAAATAAACCTTCATGCAGCAGTGGAAAATTCATCACCCATCTCCCAAGAAGTTACAATGGTCACTGTATATTCACACTTTACCAAGTCAGGGTGTTAAACAGAAAATCCCCCTGCTACTCACACTTTCCCAGTGACCAGTCCTTGATGGAAGTGCTGGTGACAGACATCTGCAGAGAATGATTTACCTTTATTTGGCAATAAGAATTAAAAAGACTTGAAGACCTAAAACATTCCCCTAGGTTGCTGCTGGCGTTTTCTACCATTTTAGCTGTCACACACAAATAAAAGCATCAGAACTGAGGGAAATACTTCAGCTGGGAACAATACACAACCCTAGGTTCTCACAGCCTGTAGAATTTGCTGCTACAGGAAAATGTTTCTCAGGTACTTAGACACAATCCTCAAATAAGATCCTATAAAGGGAGGAAGACAAGTTCTCCTTCAGTTTTGGCATCTTGCTTTTCTGTACCATTTTAACTTCTCCTCACCTTTTCTGCAGGGTTCTCCCTGAGTTTGAGTTCCTGTCATATGGCCAGAATTCTGCTCTCCCTTCTGCAATACCAGCCCTGTACTGTAGGTCAAGCTCATTTCAAGAGACAGGAATTTGTTCCTTGTTGCGATTAGCCCATTTTAGGAAAAGAAAAATTATTCAGGTCAAACTGTACTATTGGCTTTCTTCATTATTATTTTCTGTACTGACACCTGGAGGTTACCCAGGACCTTGCTTTTTCTTAATAAACAGGGGTTTTTTCACTTTCACCCTGGTATTCATGTCTCTCATTGGCAAAAAGGGATTATTGGAGCCCTTCTCTTTAGAGGAAACATTCATTCCAGGATATTTTCTCCTGAAATTTGTCTCAAAACCGAGACATGGGTTGAAAAACTGAGTGGCTCAGCTCCAGTGCTAAACCTCATAGCTTCCTTTTACACTGACTGATTTCCAATTTTTCAGAATTCTTCAATCAATAAGTTCTTATCTGAACTTTTATTTTATTGGTATCATTTGAATTTTTTAAGAGGAAGTTTATTCTGGTCCTTTATCAGCGTGGGAACGACACCTGCCCATAGCAGAGCAAAGTGATCCAAGAACCTCTTTGGATGTCAGCAGAAATACCAGGACAAAGCACTGCTCCCTCCAGAGATTTAACCAATTCAGGGCTAGCAGCATGTTCCAAGCAGACTCTGCAGGGAAATCTTGAGAACTACTCAAAAATTTATTCAGAGCTATAGAGTTAAAGAGGCTTTTAGACACAGTGTGTAATCTTGTCAGAGCTGATTAGATCAAAACAAAAGTGATGGGAAATCCTCCCTGTTAATGTGCAAAAAGCTCTCCTTAGTGCATTATGACTCACTGGACTTGCACCTCCATTCTTGGTGACTTTGTTACCACAGAACATTAATTATTAATGTTAAACCACATTTTTTCTTATGGCAGTGAGAAAGAATGCATCTTAACGGGGCAATTTTCAGCCACATTAAATGGATATTCAGGTTCTCTGACAAGCTGGGGATCACCTCGCTGCTCCAGGGCAGTACTCCAACAGCTAATACCCAATAGCAGGATTTCCTTGCCACTGTCCCACCTGCATGGAGAACACAGGAAACCCAGAACTCTCCTGGGACAGCCTGCCTGGCTGCACTGCAGGGCTGGGCTGCTCCAGCCAGGCAGTCTAAGCCCAGAGAAGACTTAAGCATGGGGTGAAACCAGAATCATGCCTGTGTGGGGACATGCCTCCCTCCTCTGCCTCCATGCCCTGCCCAGATCTGGGGTGGTGTCCAAACAGTTCAGACATGAGGCAAGGTCTGGTTCAAACACAACCCCAAGCTTAAAATCTCATTTAGATATACCCTTGGGTTCTTCCCCACCAGCTGCTCATGTATCACCTTTTCCCACTCCCCAAATACTCCAAACATCTCTGTTAACACACCAAAGATGATGATAAAGCTGGACAAGGCCTTGAGGGATTACATTATTAACAGATGAGTCAGAGAGGATTCTGAATCTCTAATATTTATGTTCATGCCTATTACATTTCCATTAAAAGCCCATGGATCACATACATCCATTTTACATATGAGGGCTGAAACTGCTGCCATTTCACAGGCACTGGGGATGGAATTCAACAGATTGTTGCTCTTGGTTCTGCCTTCATCAAATAGTTATAACCAACTCATACAGACACACACATATGTGTGTGTGTGCCATAAAGGGAAGCTAAACAGGACTTTTCTTTCAGTTTCTTTCAGCTTATTACCCTGCCCCTCAGGACCTCTAACATATTTTTAGAAAGTATTGAATTCAAGCAAAGAACACAGGAGAAAAGCCTGTCTGTGTGATTTCACCATCCCACCACCACCACGGTGGCATTTGAGGGCATATCTGTGTGCAAAGGTTGTTTTTTGGACAACATTCTCCTTTTAAGGATAATAACAGAGTGACTTAAAATCACTTCTATGCACACATCCATCTTGTTTTATTCACAGGGTACTGGTGAGGTTTTATATTTGTTTTCATTTTGGGATGCAAAGAAAGGGATAAAGAGTTTGGTTGGCCTTTTCTTCCCTCATCTGAAGCTTCATGTAGGTAGTAATAATTTTTAACTCTGGAATCCATTGTTCAGAATGCAGGAGATTATTTTTCCACTGCCTCCCCTCAGCAAGAAGGCTAAATATTTTCAGTGAAATAGAATGGATGCTGTACCAGAATAGATCGATATCAGAGCCAGCTTGTTACCACTGTCTCAGAGGGAGACAATGGAGACAGAAGGGAAGGTTCTGATCCCAAAAGAGCTCAACCTCCTGAGTTTTGAAGCAAATCCTCAAAGGACACATGAGAAAGGAAGATTACAATGCTGCTGGTGAAAAAGAAATAATAGGGAGACAACAGAGAAGAAAAAGCTGGCTGGAGGAAGGTAAGACAGAGAATATTTATCCTCACCAATTACAACATGATCTACAAAATAAGACTCCTAGTCTGCAAAGATTTGTGCTTGGGGAATAGAGCCTAGGTGGTCTCATCTACCACCACATGGACCTGGAAGTCTCTGTGCTGGGGTCTCCAGGACCTGGTGTCTCCTCCAGCACAAAGTGTGGATGTCCCCAGCATGTGCCAAAGGACAGTGAGCACATGTCCATGCACAGCTGTGCCTCTGGAGGCTCCTTCTGCTAGACAAGGAGCAGACACTGCTGAACATCCATTAAATAGTACCAAGTCCAAGCACAACTGGTCAGAATCAGGACATACAGAGAAGGAACTGGAGGCACTGCACTAAATTCCCAACTGAGGCACCAAATTTGACCTCAGGAAATTACTCTGCAAGGCTTTGGGTTAATCAGATAACCTTTCCAGCTCTCTGAACATGCCTGAACACAGTTTTTGTATCAATCTAACTGTAAAGAAATCAACAGTGGTAAATTAATGATCACCATCACACCTGCAGACATACAGATTGCATTTTAAAGCATTTTTAGTCTGTTAGTTTGATTTGTTTCAAAACAAAAATGAACGACCCGCTTCATTCGCTGTTACTTTGTTAGCACTGATTGATGAAGTCGGTGTAAAATCCAGCAGCAGGATCTTAAGCAGAATAAAACTCCCTTCCCATCAGCATAAACAGAAAAAATACAGCTGGACAAGACTACAAGAGGTCACCTAAAATATTCCCTTGGCCCCAAAATGGAATCAGTTCTACCTCAACCATTCCCTCATTGCTCACACACCCGATCTGCTTAACTCTGTGCAGCTCCAGCCACGCTGCCTCCAGTTTCAGTGCCCTCCAAAATGAAGCCTCAGTCTCTGCTGGAATTCTGCTGCTATTAATACTTCATTTCCCCTAACAGAACTTATTACATACAATGTAATGGCTCCGAGTTTGTAAATTATCAAAGAACAAGCTTTGCTTTTGATAATCTCTATTTCAAGAAATGCTGTCATTTCTCTTTAAACGGGATTTATTTTTTCCACATATTCTGTTACTGGTTTGGAATCTCAAAATGTATTTTAGCTCCTTGGGGAAAAAGCTCTGGCTATCCATTCCTTTACTATTAATCTGTTTTTTCTATTAAGACAGCTGAATCGCTCCTCCCTCAAACTTGTCAGCTATACTGATGAGTCATTAATTGATTTCTTTTCCCTCTTTGTTTTTTTGGAAGCAAGTACAGTAGGCTAAAATCAAGCAAGAAGCCTACTGAAGAATTCAATTAACTTCTGGCTTGTTTGGTAATAAATAGTGCAGTATTGTATTCTGCCACCCTTTATTCTTGTTGTAGTGTCTGGAGATTGCCCAGATGTTTCATCCTCTGGGTTTTTTTTGCTGCGGAAGGCTTTTGCCTCCAGGCTGAGCAGCGCTGGCCCTCTGCTCTCCTGCCTCCAGTTAATCTAGGTGGCTGTCAGAGCTGTCACAGGAATGGTGAATCACGGCCTCTGCAATCACTTCAGCCCCTGGGGAAGTGCTCGGAGCGAACAGCTGCACAAACCCCCACCCAAGAGAAGTTTCTCCTGGATGAGGATTTTACAAATCAACTTTGAAATAATCACAAAGCCTGACTGACAGGCCCACAGATTTTAAATAACAGAAATTTGTCAAAAACAAATTGGTTGTCTTTCAAACAGACACCCTCGTTAAGTCTTTTTTTTTTTTTTCTCTTTCCTTTGCTGACTTTCTGATTTCCAAACAACAACTGGATCCATTTTCTTCTAAACAAACTTGAATTACAAAGGAATGCTGTTCTGCTATACTTAATAGATTTGCACATTTTTCCCTTTCTTCTTTAGTCTTTCCCAGTATAACATATAATCCTTTGCACCTGCAAAAGCTCCACAGACTGCTGACTGCCAAGAATCCACCACGTGACCCTGCTTCCATGACCAGAGATCCTGTGTTTAAAGAGAAAGGAAAATAAAAAGTTATTAAATGTTTGAATCTATCTGATCCCCATGTGAGTTAACTCTGAGGATGGGAACTTAAGTGAAAAGCTATTTTTGTGGCATTTTTGAGTGATGTAATAAGTGATTTTTCCCAAGGAACTTGTGTACTTGAACAAGCAGATGGAGTGAGAAAGACGTCTGGAACTGAGGAGGGCTTGAAGCAAATTGCTTTCAGGGAATTCATATGTATGTATTTAAGCCTGTGGCCATGCAACTTTGCAAATATTTTGTGAATTTATTTTCATTTTGGCAGATAAAACAGCACAAAGCAAAACACTGAGCGTGAGGGCGGCGTGCAAGAACCAATATCAGCTCGGCCCAGATGTACAAAAGGCTTCCTTTTAAAATGAACAGCTCCCACTTCCATGAGATACAAGTCCTGTTTGCTCCCCTGCATTTATTAAAGCAACCCTTCCCCTTACACTCCCCAAAAACCCCCATCATTAAGGAATTAATCTTATCACTCCCATTACATCCCAAAGCAGGTGTGTCTCTGTTTTTCACTTGGCGTTCTTAGGGACCACACACCCTCCTCTCCATGGCTCCCACACACCCTGCTCCCATCCATTTCCTCACAGCAGCATTTAAACACACATTTAAAGTCCCAAAAAGAACAATGCCTTCCAAACCCACCTCTCAAGTCACAATTTGATGAGCCCAGTGAGTATCAGCAGCAAAGGCCAGTGTCTGCTGGGAGAGGCTTTCCTTGGCAGCTACACTGTGCTCTCCCCCCCTGCACCCTGCCCCATCACCCCTTTCTCATCTCCTGGAACACTTCACACTGGAAGCTCTCTGGAGGAGAGGGTTCTGCTTTATGATGTGAGGATCAGTACTGAGCAAAAAGGGATGGGATCCACGGCCCTTCTGAGGCCCACCGCTGAGAAATCAGCACTTTTATTTCATAGCTGTGGCATCCTCCTTCTTTTTAAAGTCATATTACTTCTGTTCTATAAAATGTTCTCAAAAGCAACTGGATAGCAGTGCTAGGCTGAGATTATTGCTCTTGGGCTCCTGGTCTGCAGTCCTGGTCTGCACTTTCCACTGGAGCAGGACTCTGCTCTCCTTTGCTGACTCTTCATTTAACATGCTGTCCTCGTGACTCGCTTCTTCCAGCTTGGCTGGCAGTTGTATTTCAGTTGAATGTTTTAAAAATCAAACTGTTCAAGCAACAATGGCCAGCCACAATGTTGTTTGGTACCCTGCCACAGCTAAATAGCTGCAGCTCTGCTGTACGAAAGCACTAAAGGGCTTCCAGCCTCTCTAATGCTAGCCATTCTTTTCCTGGTGTTTTTGGTATGGGCTGCTATTCTACTGTCACCCACAGCAGAAACTGATTTTCATTTCATAAATAAATAAATGGAGATTCATTATTCTTCAAAACCATAATATGCTTTTCTGGAATAACTCACAGTCTTCGGACACGCAGTTCTCTTGCAACTCAGTCCTGATAGAAGAAGGACATGCTACCATAGACAAACTACCTTCCAGAGTATCTGGGTATTGTCAAAGCCTAAATCCCACCTTCAGCACCCATCTGCAAAACACTTCAGGTGCTTAATAAACCTTGAACTGAAATCCAGGGCTTAAAAACTGAGCTGCTGGAGCCGCAGCTTTCTTTTGGTAAAAACAGAATTATTGTATTTTTTTATTAAACGTTCTCCAAACATCTGTACATCTCCAGCTAAACCCAAGAACTCAGAACAGTTACTGCTGCCATGTAAAAATGTGCTGTGGAAGAGCTGCTGGAGGACTAAGAGGAAAACCAGCCCATGAACACAGACATTCATGGCTTTGCCAGAAGCCATTCTCAGTCATGATGGGGTTTTATGTTAATGTCATTGTCCAAAGAAGAAGGAAAAGGTCGTCCTGATTTCTTGGCATGTAGCTCTAAAATCTAGTTTCTGATAAAGCCTGGCTGCCCAGGGCAGCTCTGCACAAAGAGCCTCTGCCAAGCAAGGCAAGCAGCAATGAATTCCCATCCATTATGCCTGCAAATTGACAACAGGTATTTGCAACAGTCATGCAATATGGAAAATGCTTTAGAAGGGTGGAGCCAGGAACAGTTCAATTAAATTAGGGAAAAGGAGAATCGAGGCTGGAGAACAGGAAGCAAATTCCCCAACAGTGAGGTCTACCGAACCGAGGAGCCAGCCTCCCCAGGGAGGAGAGGAAAGCCCTCTCCTTTGAGTCATTTAAAAATAGATTGGAGAAGGCACTCAGCACTGAACTGTGGGGAATAATCCTGCACTGGCAAGGGCAGGATGAGATGACTTCATGTGTTTCTTTCCATCTCCAATTTCGGTGATTCACTCAGAGCTCCAAACCTGAACATGCAGAAGAGCAAGAGGGAAGCAGGGCACGAGGACATGATCCTGGAGGAAGCCAAGAGGAACAAGTGTCACAGGGCCAAGAGGACCAGCAAGACTCCAGTCCAAATTCCTTCTAACCACACGATGCTGTGGGCCAGAATGACGTGCTGGAGGTCACACATGTTTTCTCTCATAGCCCATGGACCAGCTGATTGACAGGCTTTGTGGCAAGTCAGCCTGTAAGTTCTTTAGAAACACTTGCCCTTTGAGCAGGTTTTTAATACCATTACAACAGGGCAAAGCACAGAAGCTGTTAGGGGTGTGTAGATTAATATAAAACCAGGGCCTTGTTCCTGGAAAGAAACAGAGGATCCTTATACATATCTCCCTAAAACACTGACTTTGAACAAAACTGCTGGCTATTGCAGTGGTACAGTGCTTAGGGCACGCTCTGCCATCCTAGGTGCTGCACAGAAGCAGAAGAGCCTTCCACTCAGGGGGATAATGGTGAGAGCTCAGGTCAGGCAGAGCTCAGAGCCCAAGGGGCACAGCTGAGAGGCTCCAAAACAGGGCAGAAGTGGCCATGTAATGCCTGCAGAAGCCCCAACAACACTGCTCTCTCTCCACGTGCTCCTGCAAGATGAAGCACAGCCCCAACACGACTGCAGCAGTTGGCTCAGCCTGGGTCCCCCACTGCCACCACCAAAAAGGCTTCTACCTGCTCACACCAGCAGAAGGCTGCAGGGGATAACCTGACTTTTCCAGGGCAATTCCCATTCCCACTAGCATTCACAGCATAGGGAAGCAAAATGACAAGGAGCACGTTACATGAAAGCAGCCGCCATGCCAAGCCTGTGTCATGTGTATTCTATTAAGCTGAAGGCTGAATAGAAGACTTTGTTTTCCACTTCAAAGGACCCCATCCCAATCTCTCTCTCTCTTCCCTTATGAATAACAAATTGGAAATAAATCTTCTGGCTGAAGTGCATGGAAACTCATACAGTTGGGGCCCTCTGCAGCTTCCCAGCTCAATCACATGGTAATTTTTTTTGTAAACACTTTTCTGTGATATATATGTAAATCTCGCTGTGCATTGCTGCAGCATGTAAAGTAATACAGAGGGTGTGGCCTCAGGGGATGGCACACAGTGGGAAACCCAACTGCATATTTCCAATTATCCACAGGGATAATGTTCACAGAGAAGGGTCAAGTTTTATACATGGGCAGAGCCCTACTTTTCTTCCTAGAGATCCCATTTCATCCTGCTCCATAGGCCAGTGTCCCCTAATTCTCACCACAAATGTTATTTAGCTCTTTTGATGCTGAGAAAACAAGGACATCCCATTTTGTTGAGCAGAGTGAGCATTGGAAAAGTCACTCTCAAGATATACCAAAGGCCCTTCAATCTAATTAAAAAAAAAACAACAAATAAGGAAAATATTACCTCTGCTTTTAAATACTGGGGGGGAAGTATTTAGTGCCCACAAATATAGACTCCTCAGTGCTTAGGGCACCTGGCCTCCAGATGAGCAATAACCATTGAGCAGTGCACACAACTCTTACCTGTGCATGCCTGTCACCTTTGCCACACATTTATAGGAGGAGTTTGTGGCAAAAATCAGCTGTCAGCTTTGTGTTCCCAACACAGCCAGGTCATGGTCTATATTCAGGACATCTACACTTTGGTAATCCAGGAAAATGCAATACTTCCACATCTCTCAAACCTGATGACCAGCCCAACACCACCAATGCTGCAGGAGGCATTGCAGAGAATAAAACATCTCTGCCTTGGCCTTGCTATTCTTCAAGCCAGCAGAACTCAAGGCATACATTACACTTGAGGCCTGCAGCTGAATAAATATTACAATTCATTCCAATGATAAGTATCTATAGTATCTCTGTGTATCCCTCTGTTCACAACAGTGTCCAACTTCATGGTAACAGGGGAGAAAAAAATCAGTACAAATGAATCACACGGATCTGTGTGCATGTGAGGTCCTGCAGACTGAGGAAAGAAAAGCAATTTTTATGTTTGCCTTTCCTGCTAGGGGTTTTACTCACAACGTGGCATTCTGCATGGCTGACCCTTATAGATGCATGGCACATTAGCTACAGGAGAAGCAAAAACTTCACAAGTTGACTGCTGTTTCTATACATAAAGTCAACGTGGAGCAAAGAGCCAAATGTCCTCCTCAGTGGATTTTTATGTGCATATGTGCAGCATATGGGCAAGTACATGTGTATATTATCTTGCAGGAAACATGCAAGCCCAAACATGGGAAAAATTCAATGATCTAAGTTCACTGTTGACATAAATGCTGAGACTCCATTTGCACTAATGGAGTTGTGCTCACTTATGCCAGTACTGAATTCAGTCCTAGAATTAAACCCACCCAAATCCTAGATAAATTGAAAGAGAACAAAAGCTGGCCTATATGCAAGAGCATATTTTTCATGTTAAAAGCATTTCATTCCCTTTTTCTGCCCATATAATACTGCATTGATGTCTGTGACCCATTTGGATGTAAATCAAAATGGATGTGCTAAAAGCCTGGTTAAAGGAAATGTTCTTCGAAACAGCGTTCCCATGGCAAGGCAGAACAGCTACACTCAGTTTCCATGGCACAAAGGGACATATAG